GCTTTAGGTNGGAACAAACATCATGGCCAAAATACTAAGGTCAAATTTCTTCTTACCTACATTTTTCCAAATATAGGTTTTAACTCCAAAATATTTTTAAACTTCTAATATACTCCCTATCATATATCCTAAAGTTTCTCGGAGTGCTAGATTCATTTTATAAATCATTTTGACCTAAAACCCTTTAGAATTTCACTTACTCAACTCTTCTTAATAGTAGTTACCATGAAATATCAAGTCACCAGAAAATCTCCACGATTACCAAACGCACCGTCTTAGAATCATTTATTTATCTTTAATTCATTTTATATTAACACAATGCATAATAGTATAACATAAACCAAAATAAATACATTGGGGCTTACATGTCCCCATAAGCATATCGGGATTAGCACCTCCACCAGTTGACCTCTGATTTCTTCCTCGGGTTCTCTGTGGTCAATGCTCTCCAGTTGGCATGTTTCTTGCAATGAGTTGCCCTTATTTGAAGCTACGCAACATTCTCAGCCCATAACTTGATCTCCTCTAATTTATCGTATCCCCTTTTTTGGTTGGGAATTGAAAGAGTAGATGGTAGTTATGGTTGGTCATCCAAGAATGATAATATATGTTGAAGGAAAATCCATCACCGAGAAGTCTACCTTGTAGGTGATTTGTGTAGGGTTGTGCCGTACTATTATGGGAAGAGAGATTGATCCCAACGAATAGGCTTTCTCGCCTAAAAAACCAACAAGTACAGCTCTGAGGGGTCTGAGCTTGTGCCTCCCAATCTCCAACTAATCGAAATCATTTCAAAAATTATGTTAGTCAAGCTCTAATTATTTATCAAGACTCTCCTCATGGTGTGGTTTCATGCAATTACTGAGATGATTAAGGGGTCTTCATAAGAGAAATGAACTCCCTTGAAGTCTTCACCAGAAAATGTAATTGGTTGGTTAACTTTGGGCATCTTTCATGGGTGTACAAGGTTGATCTTTTCCAAATCTAGGTCTGCTCGAGCTCTTTGTGAATAAGCTCTTTGTGTTGAACTACTTTTGCCTCAGCTGTCAGCCTTCCTGAGATTAATTTTATTTCTCCCAATGGCTATTGATGCTAACGATCTCTAGATCTTGGTTTCCTTGGAATTGAGCTCCATCTGCTCTCCTATTCCATTGTATAAATTCCCCAAATAGCCTCCCTAGATCATATCTTCTGTCTAATTTTTAAGGTGACTAGTTGTTGTACACATGTGTTGCACATGCACCAATTTGAATAGCTCAAAAGGCACTAGGAAGGGAAAATGAGGACTTTCACTATTAATCCTAGATTTGGCAATAACTCACTATATCTAGAAGGCTACATCACCACTTCTAGAAGGACATGCCACACTTTGGGAGAAGAGCCTAAAACGGCCAAATATTCCCATAATTATTCTCATACAAATCAATTATGACTACACCATCATTGTGTACCCATTTGTAGAATTTGGTTGAGAGCTCTTATGCTCTCCTCCTCCATATTGATAGAGAATATAATTCTTGACTTGCTAAAATTGATGGATTGTCATGATGCTTTGCTAAAATTTTTAAGAACTTGCATTAAACTCATAGCCTGCTCTGGCACAACTTTTACAAAGAAAAGTGAGTCATCAGAAAAAAATAAATGGGTAAGTGTTAGGCTCCTTCTACGAAGCCTAATGCCACTGAATTCCCCCTACCTCGTTTCTTTGATTATCATTCTAGATAGGGCACCCGCTACTAGTAAAAAAATATATGGGGAAGCCTAAAATTACACCTTTCTTCCCCATTAATGTTGACAGTATAATGGACTATTGTGATACACTACAACATTAGGTGAACCCATTTGGGGTGAAATCTCATCCTCAGCATTACTCCTTCAATAAAATTCCCATTCAACCCTATCATAAGTTTTATTCAAGTCAATCTTGATGGTCACATTCTCAATATCATTTGATTTTCTAGTTTTTAGGAAGTGCAAGGCTTCATTTTCCACAAGAAGGTTATCCTGAATTTGTCTATGGGGAACAACAACAACTTGATTTGGTGNTTCTCATACAAATCAATTATGACTACACCATCATTGTGTACCCATTTGTAGAATTTGGTTGAGAGCTCTTATGCTCTCCTCCTCCATATTGATAGAGAATATAATTCTTGACTTGCTAAAATTGATGGATTGTCATGATGCTTTGCTAAAATTTTTAAGAACTTGCATTAAACTCATAGCCTGCTCTGGCACAACTTTTACAAAGAAAAGTGAGTCATCAGAAAAAAATAAATGGGTAAGTGTTAGGCTCCTTCTACGAAGCCTAATGCCACTGAATTCCCCCTACCTCGTTTCTTTGATTATCATTCTAGATAGGGCACCCGCTACTAGTAAAAAAATATATGGGGAAGCCTATAATTACACCTTTCTTCCCCATTAATGTTGACAGTATAATGGACTATTGTGATACACTACAACATTAGGTGAACCCATTTAGGGTGAAATCTCATCCTCAGCATTACTCCTTCAATAAAATTCCCATTCAACCCTATCATAAGTTTTATTCAAGTCAATCTTGATGGTCACATTCTCAATATCATTTGATTTTCTAGTTTTTAGGAAGTGCAAGGCTTCATTTTCCACAAGAAGGTTATCCTGAATTTGTCTATGGGGAACAACAACAACTTGATTTGGTGAAATAAGATGGTTTAAAATAGATTTCAACTTATTTGAAAGCACCTTTGAAATTATTTTGTAGCTAAAATTGCATAAAGCAATTGGCCTTAATTGGGTTAATGACTCAAGAACATTTTCTTTTGGGATAATGACAATATTTAACATATTTAGGTCCTTGAATAGAAACACTCTTTCAAAGAAATCCATGACCCCTTTGCATAGATCCTCCCTCATTATACGCCAAAATTTATGATAGAAGATACCTGGATAGCCATTTGGTCCCAGAGCTTTGATTGGGCGTAGTTGTTTGCATGCTCTGTAGACTTCCTCATTGATATTGGCTTCAGCATATTGATACTCATCTCCATTATTAATTAGGGAATCATGTCAAGACCTCTTCCATGTTCCTCAGGCCACTGGTGGAATATAGTTAATGGAAATAGTCTTGAATATGATCATTAATCTCTTCCTCCTCTTCAATTCAAGTCCCATATGATGCTTTTAGTTTGAGAATTTGGTTCCTATGCCTAAATTGAATTGTAGTTAGATGGAAAAATTTTGTATTCTGATCCTCTACCTTCAACCAATTAATCCTAGACCACTGTATCCAATATTGTTCCTCTTTTTGCCAAATCATATCAATCTTTGAAGCCACATCAAATTCTTTTTTCAAATTTTATTCCATTGATTCCTTGGATCGGATTTTAGCAAGTTCATATTGTAGTACTGCTAGGCTTTCTTTACGGTTCTCAAAAGTCCACTTACTCCATTCTTTAAGCTTGTAACTATAATTCTTCATCTTTTGTTTTGCAATGAACATGTTAGAGCCTTGCAACTCTAATCCCACCATATCTCTTTAACTATCTCTTCACACTCAAAATTCTCTAGCCACATTATTTCAAATTTGAAAGTATATGGAACTTTCTTCGTTTCAAATCCCAAGTCAATGAGAATAGAGCTATGGTTGGATCCCATTCTGATCTCATGAAACACTTCTGCATTACGAGATTTCTGTCTCCATTCTATATTTACCAATACCCTGTCGATTCTTTCCTGAACATTTGCTTTGCCTTGTCTATTATTTGACTAGGTGAAACAAGGGCCTTTGAAATAAAGTTCCATCATTTGACAATCTGAAATAAAATTCTACAATTCCTCTACCTTCTTTGAGCTCTTGCCTTTTCCTCAAGCTTTATCCCAAATGGAGCCAATAGGATTAAAGTCACCCGCAATCATCCATGGCAATATAGAATTCCCCCCAAAGCTTTAGGACCATGCTATATCCTTTGTCTTCAAACATAATCTGGGTCAGCGTAGATGAAAATGGTCTGTCACACAATTGATGGATTTCTGGTGATGCAAAAAGTATTGATTATATTTTTGTTGGAAAAGTCAACTGCAAGGGTTATCTCATCTTTCCACCACAAATCAAGACCTCCTAAAAGGCCAATGGGTTCAATTGGTAACCAATGCTTCTTCTCAGCCTTTCTAACATTTCATTTTTGTTTTTTGTTACCATTAGGAAAATTATTCCTAGACGAAGGAAGCTAACCATCGCTCTAAGTGTACAAACTATTTGGGGTCGGCCAATTCCCTGGCAAGTCCATGAGAGTACTAACAAGGACCTTGTGGCTGTTCGAGGCTAGCCAACATCGTCTTTTCTGATTCAGAAAAACTTAAATCTGGACGGGAGCTTGGATCCTAGGAGACCCATTGTAACATACTGACATTCATATTATTCTCATCTTGGTATTCCATGCCACCACCCCATGATTTTGCATAACTGGCTCATTCCTCACTTCCATCTCTACAAGCACACCTAGGTTGTNTTTTTTTTTAATCTCAAAAATACCCCTAACGGTGTTAATTTTGTTCATTTATGAAAAGTCACAGAGGTTAATTCATTGAGATGTATATAGAAGGAAGATATGTCTGCCTGATTTTACTCTAGTAATAGTCTGTCACAATCTTTCCATAAATATTTGATATTTAAATTCTTATTCATTATTCGTATGTTGCACATTGATCAAATTGAAAATCAAAGTCCACCACCATGATCGAAAAAACTCAAAAAATTGTCCATGAAGCACCAACAAAAACTGAATTTGATTTGGGAAAAGAAGGTACTTGGATATATTCATCACTCACCAACATCTTACATGAGGCTTACGATTCAAATTCTCTGTCGAAAAACGATGCTTCAGAGCTCATACTTTCTTCCTCAAAGAATTCTTGGTGAATTTCTTCAGCCAGAATTTCCCCCCAAGCAGCTTCTAACAATGTCATCTAACTGTAAGATGGGTTCATCATGGAAAGTAAAATTTTCAACCTCCAACGAATCACCTTTTTCCCAAATCAGATTCATCGTTGGATTGGATATGATAATCAACTTCACCATTAACACATGAAACAAAGTATTCTCCTGCACCAACAAGATGTTCAATGAAATGCCCTTAAGCATGTTATTATTTTTTCAATTCTTGAAATACCATGTTACTACTTTTTTTATTTTCATGTTACTATTTTTTTTTTGCGCAAGTTACTACATTTTTGGATGATCGGCGAGGTTTTGATTTAGGTCTCAATTTAGTTGGTTGTGTATTTTTAGAAAGAAAACGACGTTGTACCAGTACCATTTTTTTTCCATGTTACTATTTCTATTTTGTTGGGCTTGTTCATGTTACTACCTTTTTTCTTGTTACTATTTTTTTTATAAGCATGTTAATATTTTTTCAAAAATATCAATATTCAATGTTACTATTTTTTTTAAGTATGTTACTATTGTATTTTTTCAAATATTAACATACAATGTTACTATTTTTTATTTTTTGAATGTTACTATGTTTATGTGTTTAAATGGTACTATTTTTTGTGTTTGAATGTTAATAGNTCTAGGTTCATATTTTCAGCTCACCTACTTCTTAGGTGACTCAACTCCCTTGGTAGCACTCCAGGTTTTCAATTTGGTTGAGGTGGTGAGTTGCTCAAAGTGCTTTGTATACACTCAAACTTGTTTTCCCTTCTAATTTCTCAAGTAAGGTTGGGGAATGGGTGCAGGACTTACTCTCTTCTCTTTGATGTAGATAAGTCAATTTTTACCTTTGGAGTAGAAGGAATCAATTTTACTCTAGCTTGTGAGACCTTAATAGGTGATGCANAGGTTTTGTGTTTGAATGTTACTAGTTTTTGTTTTTAATGTTAATATTAAATATTAATATTTATTTGAAATATCAATATTAAATGTTACTATTTTTTATTGAGTATGTTACTATTATTTTCTCAAATATTAATATACAATATTACTAGTTTTTATTTTTTAATGATACTATTTTTTGTGTTTAAATAGTATTANTCCATTTGCTTAGTTATTTTGATTCATTACTTGATTATTCAAAGCCTTGGATTGGTTAGTTAGATACATGAGCTTCTTATTCAAGGTTTCCCTACTATGCATGCAATGTGTGTTATAGTAACCATGCTATCCACAAGTGAAACACAACAAGTGTTTGGCTTGGGTCTCCTTAATAACCGTTTTTTTTAATTGCATACCCTTACAATTTTTAGCTTTAGGTGGATTTGTGTTCCCTCATNTATTTTTTGTGTTTAAATGATACTTTTTTTTGTATTTGAATTTTACTATTTTTTTTTTATTTTTAATGTTACTATATATATATATATATATATATATATATATATAGTTATAGTTATAGTTATAACCTATATATAGATATAGATAGATATATATTTTAATGTTAATNTTTTAAATCCTAGGAAAAATATTTTTGAGAGTTCTTGTGACTCTTAACGGTCTCTATGTGCATCCGAATGGTAATTTTGCGTACGAATGGTCCAAACTTTCTTCCAAAACCTTTACAAGTGCGTCCGAATGTGCTATCCATGTCCCAATGTGGATAACTTTCTGCCCCAGACTTTTGACTTGATTTTGAATTATTTAGAAGCTGATTTTCAAAATTTTCATGAAATACACCTTTGTTTCTATTGAAGTATACTTTTAATGCTGNTTAAGAGTTTTTAATTTTTAGTTTTACTTCACTTCTAAAGGGAATGGATAATCTGGTAAAATTGACAAAAAATGGACTTCATAACAAATAAATTTTCTTGGCAGATTTAAGTCCAAACAAATCCGTATAGGAGGACCAACCTCCAAATTTCCAACTTTTAAAGGTAAAGTGAGATGCACTTAAATTCCATAAATTAATTAAAACCCATAAATTTGCTGAATAGCCTACTACTTGAAGCNTTTAATGCTGCAAGAATCAGCTCAATCGGATATCGGGAACAAACATCATGGCCAAAATACTAAGGTCAAATTTCTTCTTACCTACATTTTTCCAAATATAGGTTTTAACTCCAAAATATTTTTAAACTTCTAATATACTCCCTATCATATATCCTAAAGTTTCTCGGAGTGCTGGATTCATTTTATAATTCATTTTGATCTAAAACCCTTTAGAATTTCACTTACTCAACTCTTCTTAATAGTAGTTACCATGAAATATCGAGTCACCAGAAAATCTCCACGATTACCAAACGCACCGTNTTGACTTCGCCATGGCCAATTAGAGTCAGAGCGGAATCAGAGCAAAATTTTGAAAATTGATAAAATAAAAAAATAGACAATAGAGAGAGAGACAAAATATATATCGGACAAAAAGANTTATATTAACACAATGCATAATAGTATAACATAAACCAAAATAAATACATTGGGGCTTACATGTCCCCATAAGCATATCGGGATTAGCACCTCCACCAGCTGACCTCTGATTTCTTCCTTGGGTTCTCTGTGGTCAATGCTCTCCAGTTGGCATGTTTCTTGCAATGAGTTGCCCTTATTTGAAGCTACGTANTAGATATGAGATTTAAGACCATCGCAAGTGAGAACTTCAATCGGAGATGAACCCATCGTTGGAGAAGAACCCATCGTCGGAGATGAGACCATCACTGATGAATTATAGGTGCTTTGTTGAGATTTCAGATCTGAGGATCTATGCATTGTCGACTGAGAGGGAGAGAAATAAAGGGGCTGGTTGCTCGTCGTTGAGAGAGAGAGAGGGAGATGGAGATGGAGGGGCAGCTGGCTTGCGTCAACCAAGGTTTGGGTGTGTGTTGTCCAGAGAGAGTGAGAGACAAAAAGAGAGATGGTTTTTGGGATTGGGCTTAGAATGGGGTTGGGCTTAGGAAGGTGGTTGGACTCAATAAGATAGAATTTTTGGATTTGTAATAATATAATTTATAGTTTGTCTAAAATTAATAATTAATAAAAATCAGAGTTAGAGTTTTTTCGGATAGGCCTTCCAACTCTGACTTCGATTGAAGTCTGCCATTTTTCTTCGACTCTATCTATTACAAACTCCGACTCTAACGGAGGCACAATCAATCCAGAGTCAAGAGCATAATCTAATTTTCAAATTCAGGGCCAACCCAATAGTATTAAAAAAAAAGCATGGACTTTAGGTCCCAAATTTTTGAAAAGTCCTATAATTTTAAATACATAACTAGTCCACATAAAAAATTTAAAGTCAATCAAAAAATTATAATTTCAATAATTTGAGCTTACAATTCAATTCATAACATTAGAAACTCAAAAAAATAAAAATTTTAAAAACAAATAAAAAGAATATTTAAAAATCAACCATATTTATTCACATCCATTCCCTTTCTCTCTCTTAAAAAACAAAAATAAAATATCACATCCTCCTCTCTTACTTAAAAAAAATTAAAAATATATTTTTTTTAAAATGATACTAAAAATAAATAGGCCTCATTTAATATTACTGTTTTACGTCTCAAATTATATCGAACTTTCAAATTCTTGCACACCTTTAATATTAATTATCAAAATTAACATCCCAAAATTTAATTCCTCCAACTACATTACACCCCGCAAGATCTAACTCCCAAGGTTACTTTCCATCCGTACACAATCTCTCACTTCNTCATAAGAGAAATGAACTCCCTTGAAGTCTTCACCAGAAAATGTAATTGGTTGGTTGACTTTGGGCATCTTTCATGGGTGTACAAGGTTGATCTTTTCCAAATCTAGGTCTGCTCGAGCTCTTTGTGAATAAGCTCGTTGTGTTGAACTACTTTTGCCTCAGCTGTCAGCCTTCCTGAGATTAATTTTATTTCTCCCAATGGCTATTGATGCTAACGATCTCTAGATCTTGGTTTCCTTGGAATTGAGCTCCATCTGCTCTCCTATTCCATTGTATAAATTCCCCAAATAGCCTCCCTAGATCATATCTTCTGTCTAATTTTTAAGGTGACTAGTTGTTGTACACATGTGTTGCACATGCACCAATTTGAATAGCTCAAAAGGCACTAGGAAGGGAAAATGAGGACTTTCACTATTAATCCTAGATTTGGCAATAACTCACTATATCTAGAAGGCTACATCACCACTTCTAGAAGGACATGCCACACTTTGGGAGAAGAGCCTAAAACGGCCAAATATTCCCATAATTATTCTCATACAAATCAATTATGACTACACCATCATTGTGTACCCATTTGTAGAATTTGGCTGAGGTCTCTTATGCTCTCCTCCTCCATATTGGTNTTGCTTCTCTCCTTTTTCCTCCCTCCTCTGCCAATCCAAAGCCTTTTCTTACCCATATCTCACCTATTTGTCTCCTTTATTCTTGAAGTGTTCAAATTTTCAATTATCCCTCAAATTTTGATTTTATCCTACNTACCCATTTGTAGAATTTGGCTGAGGTCTCTTATGCTCTCCTCCTCCATATTGGTAGAGAATATAATTCTTGACTTGCTAAAATTGATGGATTGTCATGATGCTTTGCTAAAATTTTTAAGAACTTGCATTAAACTCATAGCCTGCTCTGGCACAACTTTTACAAAGAAAAGTGAGTCATCAGAAAAAAATAAATGGGTAAGTGTTAGGCTCCTTCTACGAAGCCTAATGCCACTGAATTCCCCCTACCTCGTTTCTTTGATTATCATTCTAGATAGGGCACCCGCTACCAGTAAAAAAATATATGGGGAAGCCTATAATTACACCTTTCTTCCCCATTAATGTTGACAGTATAATGGACTATTGTGATACACTACAACATTAGGTGAACCCATTTAGGGTGAAATCTCATCCTCAGCATTACTCCTTCAATAAAATTCCCATTCAACCCTATCATAAGTTTTATTCAAGTCAATCTTGATGGCCACATTCTCAATATCATTTGATTTTCTAGTTTTTAGGAAGTGCAAGGCTTCATTTTCCACAAGAAGGCTATCCTGAATTTGTCTATGGGGAACAACAACAACTTGATTTGGGGAAATAAGATGGTTTAAAATAGATTTCAACTTATTTGAAAGCACCTTTGAAATTATTTTGTAGCTAAAATTGCATAAAGCAATTGGCCTTAATTGGGTTAATGACTCAAGAACATTTTCTTTTGGGATAATGACAATATTTAACATATTTAGGTCCTTGAATAGAAACACTCTTTCAAAGAAATCCATGACCCCTTTGCATAGATCCTCCCTCATTATACGCCAAAATTTATGATAGAAGATACTTGGATAGCCATTTGGTCCCAGAGCTTTGATTGGGCGTAGTTGTTTGCATGCTCTGTAGACTTCCTCATTGATATTGGCTTCAACATATTGATACTCATCTCCATTATTAATTAGGGAATCATGTTCAAGACCTCTTCCATGTTCCTTAGGCCACTGGTGGAATATAGTTAATGGAAATAGTCTTGAATATGATCATTAATCTCTTCCTCCTCTTCAATTCAAGTCCCATATGATGCTTTTAGTTTGAGAATTTGGTTCCTATGCCTAAATTGAATTGTAGTTAGATGGAAAAATTTTGTATTCTGATCCTCTACCTTCAACCAATTAATCCTGGACCGCTGCATCCAATATTGTTCCTCTTTTTGCCAAATCATATCAATCTTTGAAGCCACATCAAATTCTTTTTTCAAATTTTATTCCATTGATTCCTTGGATCGGATTTTAGCAAGTTCATATTGTAGTACTGCTAGGCTTTCTTTATGGTTCTCAAAAGTCCACTTACTCCATTCTTTAAGCTTGTAACTATAATTCTTCATCTTTTGTTTTGCAATGAACATGTTAGAGCCTTGCAACTCTAATCCCACCATATCTCTTTAACTATCTCTTCACACTCAAAATTCTCTAGCCACATTATTTGAAATTTGAAAGTATATGGAACTTTCTTCGTTTCAAATCCCAAGTCAATGAGAATAGAGCTATGGTTGGATCCCATTCTGATCTCATGAAACACTTCTGCATTACGAGATTTCTGTCTCCATTCTATATTTACCAATACCCTGTCGATTCTTTCCTGAACATTTGTTTTGCCTTGTCTATTATTTGACTAGGTGAAACAAGGGCCTTTGAAATAAAGTTCCATCATTTGACAATCTGAAATAAAATTCTACAATTCCTCTACCTTCTTTGAGCTCTTGCCTTTTCCTCAAGCTTTATCCCAAATGGAGCCAATAGGATTAAAGTCACCCGCAATCATCCATGGCAATATAGAATTTCCCCCAAAGCTTTAGGACCATGCTATATCCTTTGTCTTCAAACATAATCTGGGTCAACGTAGATGAAAATGGTCTGTCACACAATTGATGGATTTCTGGTGGTGCAAAAAGTATTGATTATATTTTTGTTGGAAAAGTCAACTGCAAGGGTTATCTCATCTTTCCACCACAAATCAAGACCTCCTAAAAGGCCAATGGGTTCAATTGGTAACCAATGCTTCTTCTCAGCCTTTCTAACATTTCATTTTTGTTTTTTGTTACCATTAGGAAAATTATTCCTAGACGAAGGAAGCTAACCATCGCTCTAAGTGTACAAACTATTTGGGGTCGGCCAATTCCCTGGCAAGTCCATGAGAGTACTAACAAGGACCTTGTGGCTGTTCGAGGCTAGCCAACATCG